AAAAACACCTACTGACTACAAACCTATTTCTTGCTGCAATTGCCTCTATAAATTCATTTCGAAAATTTTGGCTACTAGAATTCAGGCTGTTATGGGGAGTATAGTAAATGAAGCCCAAAGTGCATTTGTGAAGGGTAGACAAATTTCAAACAACATCCTATTGGCTCATGAACTGGTGAAGAACTATGGAAGGAAACACTTATCACCAAGGATTATGATCAATATAGATATCAGAAAAGCTTTTGACTCTATAAGTTGGAATATTATTCAAGGGATTATGAAGGGTCTGGGTTTTCCTTTGGTCTTTATCAAATGGGTTATGAGCTGTATATCAAATCCAAATTACTCTATTTCCCTGAATGGAAGTTTACATGGTTTCTTCAAGGGACAAAGAGGACTGAGGCAAGGGGACTCTCTCTCCCCCTATCTCTTTATTCTTGGAATGGAGTATCTGACGAGGAGTTTGAATATGCTGAAGAGTGATAAAAACTTCAAATTCCACCCCAAATGCAAAAAGCTAAATATAACACATCTAATATTTGCTGATGATTTACTCCTTTTCTGCAGAGAGGATTATTATTCTGTGAACAAACTTTTCCAATGTGTTAAATCTTTTGGAGCTTGTTCTAGATTAGAGGCAAATCCAGCCAAGAGTTCTATCTTCTATGGTGGGGTGTCGGAGGAAACAAAACATGCCATTAATAACTCTCTGGGCTTCCTTGAAGGAACTCTACCTATAAAATATCTGGGGCTTCCCTTGATTTGCAAAAGGATGTCATACTTGGACTGTAATCTTCTGATCATGAAGATTTCCAACCAATTCCAAAACTGTCTGAAACACAAGCATTTATCTTATGCAGGAAGGATACAGATAATCAAAAGTGTCATATTGGGTGTCCAAATTTTCTGGACTTCTAGCTACATTCTTCCAGTTAAAGTACTATACAAGATTGATGAGCTATGTAGGAGTTTTTTATGGGGCAAATCAGATCAGGTGTTCAAGGCTTCGCTAGTGTCATGGAATAAAATCTGTGTGCAAAGGAAACATGGAGGCTTGGGAATTTTCTCGGTTCAACTTTGGAACACTGCTGCTGCTTTAAAGCTTCTTTGGAATATTCACATGAATAAGGAGAAACTGTGGATTAAATGGATACATGAGAGTTACCTAAAACAAGAGTATCTGGCAGGCTAATACTAGGAAGGGGGACTCTTGGATGTGGAAACAACTTTTGAAAATCAGAGATAAATGCTTGGTTTTGTATGGAGGGATTGAAAGCCTCAAGCAACGTATACACTCTTGCTGTGTCAAGTCAAGAATACAACTCTCTGGTCTATATACAAGTCTGCATCCTATTTCTACACAAGTTACATGGCATGATACAGTTTGGGGAAAACTGAATTATCCAAAGCACTCGTTCATCTTGTGGCTGGCTGTTCAAGATAAACTTTAAACTCAAGATAGACTACTTAAGCATGGAATCATTCAGACTTCAGTTTGCAAGCTGTGTGATGGCTCATGTACACAGAGCCGTAATCATCTCTTTTTTGAATGCTCAATGTCTAATTATGTCTGGAATGGTATAATGGAGTGGCTTAAATTCAAATGGAGATGCTACGAATGGTCTTCCCTCATGAATTGGTACAGTTTCAGATTGAGGGGTAGTGGGTTTAAGCAAAAAATCAAAAGGATGGCATTAGCGGCTACTGTCTATAATATTTGGAGAGAAAGAAATTCTAGAATTTTTAAGATGGAGAATATAACTGCTGACAGTTTGATCAAGAACATTAAGTTGGACATTCTCACAGCTATCTTAAAAAAGTCCCTGTCGGCTGAATGCAGAGGATGAGTTCTCTTTGTAGAGCTCACTGAAATCTCTGTGTTGCCAGATTACAGGTATGAAGAAGAACTACTCATGGTGTGGAGGATAATCCTTAAGAGGGTTTTAAGTTGAGAACTGCTTTAGCCTGTTTTGAATACCTGTATGTCTCATGCATAGGTTATTCCGAAGTTGTAGATTAAGAGTGTTTTGTTGAGCTCTTCTATTAGAACTGCAAGATGTTATCTCACCTTTTGGCAGTGAGTAGATTAAGAGTGTTTTGTTGAGCTCTTCTATTAGAACTGCAAGATGTTATCTCACCTTTTGGCAGTGAGATTCTTGATGTATACACCTTTTACATTTTGGAAATGAATAAATTCTTCATTTAACAAAAAAAAGAGGTACTTTGAATACTTATACAAGATTGGTTGATTTTGAAACTTCCTTTTATAGGCAAAAGGCAAATATTAGATGGGGTATTCATGCTGATAAATGTTCTCAGTTTTTTCACTCTATTATGAAGGCAAAAAGGCATCAAAATAAGATCATGTCTATATACTCCGATAGTGAGGAAAGGATTACTGACATTTCTCATATCATAGAAGAGTTCACTGCTTATTACAAGAAATTACTGGGTTATTCTAGTTCTACTACAGAAGTCAAAGCTGAAGTTTTGTCAAATGGTCCTATCCTATCTTCTACTCAGGCCAAGAATCTTAGTGTTCCAGTCACTAGAGATGAAATCAAACAAGCATTATTTTCTATGGATAATGAGAAAGCACCAGGACCAGATGGCTACACTGCTGCGTTTTTCAAAGCAGCCTGGAATCTGATAAATGAAGATCGTTATCTTGCCATTGAAGAGTTTTTTAAGTCTGATAAGCTTCTTGGAGCTCTTAATGCTACATCTATTACTTTAGTCCCTAAGATTCTTAATCCTAAATCCCCTTCAGATTATAGACCAATTTCCTATTGCAATTGTTTATCTCTAAAATTATTGCAACAAGAATTCAAGGGGTTATAGGGGCTTTGATTAATGAAGCACAAAGTGCTTTTGTTAAAGGAAGACTTATATCTAGCAACATCCTCTTAGCTCATGAATTGATCAAGCACTATGGCAGAAAACATTCAACACCAAGGGCAATCCTCAACATTGATCTAAGAAAAGCCTTTGATACAATTGACTGGAAATTCATAAAGGATATGCTTACTGGTTTGGGTTTTCATGTGACTATGATCAATTGGATTATGGAATGTATATGTTCACCTAAGTACTCCCTATCTTTGAATGGCTCACTGCATGGTTATTTTAGAGGTGCTAGAGGATTAAGACAAGGAGATCCCCTCTCTCCTTACCTTTTTGTTTTAGGGATGGATTATCTATCAAGAAGACTAAGCTCCCTAAAGAATGATAATCTGTTCAAATATCACCCAAAATGCTCCAGGCTTAAAATCTCTCATCTTTTCTTTGCTGATGATCTGCTACTGTTTTGCAAAGCTGATATTTACTCTATTGCAAGATTGAAAGAATGCCTATCTGAATTAAGTCATGTCTCTGGACTAGAGACTAATCCAAACAAGTGCTCTATATATATGAGTGGTATTGATGAGAATTTGAAGACCTATATTTGCTCCTTACTGAATTTTTCTGTGGGTGTCCTTCCAGTGAGATGCTTGGGAGTACCATTGATTTCAAAAAGACTATCTTATTCAGATTGCTCCCCTATGATTGACAAAATATCTACTCAGTTCCATAATTGGCAAAAAAAGAAAACATTGTCCTATGCAGGTAGATTGCAGCTTATTAAATCTGTCATCTTAGGCATTCAAAATTTTTGGACTAGCAATTATATTCTACCAGTTAAGGTGTTGAAGAAAATTGACAGTCTTTGTTCTGAATTCCTTTGGAATCACAAAATCCATTTGATTTCCTGGAAGACAGTTTGTCAAAGTAAGGAGCATGGAGGTCTAGGGGTATTCTATGCTAAAGCCTGGAATACTGCAGCTTCTATGAAGATTATTTGGATGATACACTTCAAGAAAGATTTGTTATGGATTAAGTGGGTACATGACAACTATCTTAGACAATCTGATATATGGCAAGTTCAGTCTAAAGCAAATGATTCTTGGATGTGGAAACATATTCTTAAAGTGAGAGATAAGGTGATATCCAAATTTGGAAGTGCCTCTAATGTTCAAAATATCATTGCTAGAAGCTGCTCTGGAGGTAATGTCCAATTATCTACTATCTACAATGAACTCATTAATCAGAATGCACATGTAACTTGGTCAAAAACAGTTTGGGATGAATGGTCATATCCTAAGCATTCTCTCATCACCTGGCTTGCTATTCATTCTAGACTGTTAACAAGAGATAGATTATGTCACATGAATATCCTTAACATTAATCAACAGCAAAATGCATGTGTTCTGTGCATATTTCAGCAACAAGAAACCTGTAAGGACCTCTTTTTTGAATGTGCATTCTCAGCTGATCTCTGGAACAGAGTTATGGAGTGGATGAACTACAAATGGAAATCTTGCAATTGGGATCGGATTATTGAATGGTATAGTACAAGATTGAAGGGAAAGGGTTTTATGAAGAAAGTTAAAAGAATGGCACTTACTGTGTCAGTCTATGCCATATGGAAGGAAAGAAATCAAAGAATTTTTCGGCAAGAAGCTCAAGACCTTGTGTTTCGAAGAGTGAAGTTCCTGATTCTATCAAAAGTTCTGAATGACGATATTCATGCTCACATAAAAGACAGAATTTTGAAAATGTAATTGTTTTTTTCCGGAGTTGATCTCCCAGTTTAGGAACTAGTATATTTTGATGTACTCATATTTCTCTATTTGGTAATGAATAAAATTTATTTCATTGCTCAAAAAAAATTAAGAGGTACTCTATGGGTCAATTAATGGAGTAGTTATGAATGTGAGGAGGTTATGAGTGAGTATGTATATGGGTTTATATATGTGTTTTATCATGAATATGTGTTTTATCATGAATATTAGCAATTACGTGGATAACCATAACAATTCAAAGGTCTCACTTTAATAATTAATATATAAATCAGAGAGCGTTTTAGGAAGAAAATATTTAGCATCATTAGATTAGATAACAATTTATGATATTATTTTTAAGCTTATCTTATCATAGTTTAGCGAAATTCGTCCCATAAAGTGAATACGACGTTGAAAAACACATATTAACGTTAACAAGACAAGACAAACAAACTTAATCCTCCACCAACCTCCCTTATATTCTCATCATCATTATTTCCCTATAATTCTCACAACACAACAATACTCTAGTTAATTAGGCACTAACCCTAATCACTGTAATTAACAAAAGAGCGATAAGTCTTCCCGGGCTGCCACCCGACCGGAACAGCATTGTTCGCCACCAGCGTCTTCCCCGTCGACAGCGACGTAAGCCTCAGCGAGAACGGCGCTTGCAATGCCGATCCTGAGTTTAGCTTCCAGACTGCACCCCATGATTGCTGCATCGACATCCATGACGATGACGATGATGATGGTGATTGGGATCCTTGATGGAGGTCAAGGGCTCCGAGATCACCGTCGCCTCCCTCGTACTCAACAACGACGGCGAAGTAGTTGGGGTTGGACCCAGCGTCGACGTGGAAAGCGATGTCAACACCTGGGTAATTGCACTCGACCCTGCAGGAAGTTTGAGGCAATTAATGTTCGTGTAACTGATTTTGGACGAGGTCAAACCAAACAATCAACTATTTTCATTCCATTATATAATCAAGTGATGAATTGTATACTAATAATCCTCAGAGTTTCTTGATTACTTCAATTAATTACTCAAGAATAGATAGTTTTTGGTGCACCGGTAATATATAATCACCTAATTATAGCATTTGAATTCTTTTACTCAAGAATAGATTGACTTGATTAATTTTTTTAATAAATGAATGTGTGATTATTTATTTCAAATCTAACACTTCCTATAATATCTTTTATGATTTGCATTTTGTTCTCAGTACGTAGAATAACAATTATTTTTTAACGAGTGCGTTACGAGAGCTAGCTCTCATCAAAGTCACGCTTAATTAAGTATGAGATTGATTTATTTGGAAAATAATTTCCAATTAGCTATCTTACTTAGTGTACTGGACCTGAAGCACCCCGGCATCGCGAAGCTGATCAGCCTGCCCCTGAACAGCCATGGCGCCGAAAGCTGTCCCGCTCATGTCTAAATGCACGGGCTCCGCAAGGCACGGGCCGCCGAGGCACGAGTCAGTTATAACGACCGTCACCGGATTGCCAGAGCACGCAGCATTGCAGGTGCATTTCACCTGATCAAAACATTAATTACCGGCGCAATTTTCATTATGTGAACACAACTTTTAGGGAAATTAATTCCTATAAGTAGTAATTACCTGGAAGCAAGCACCACAGCCTTTGCCAGATTTGAACAGGTTAGGGTTACCAGCCGCAAT